TTATTTTCTCATCCTTCAAAATCACTGAAAATGCGCATGTTTACAAAAGTGTATGACTTTGAGTGACAGCTCAAGACTTCAAACTGGCTTTCCAGTTTATTTGAGATAAATAATTTTTTTCGAGTACAATGTGGGGAATTCCTGTAAATATTTCGGCTTATTTAGTTTTAAAGTAACAAGTTCTAATTTTGTAAGAAGGTTTTTAGTGAGTTGGGGGACATTTAAYGATCTTTTGGGCYYGTTATTTTCTCATTCTTCAAAATAATTGAAAATGCGCGYGTTTACCAAAAACATGACTTTGAGTGACAGCTTAAGACTTCAAACTGGCTTTCCAGTTTATTAATAATTTTTTTCAACTAAAATTTTGTGAATTCCTGCAAATATTCAGCTACTTTCGTTTTAAAGTAACAAGTTTAAATTTTGTGAGGCAATTCTGATCGTTTTGGGGTGCAACTTGCAATCTATCTTTTTGGTGTGTTTCAATGTCATGATATGACTTTGACTTTGACAGATAATAATGAATTTAGGCGATGGAATATGGAAGGAATTCACATTGATTGGTTGCTTGGTAGTTGTTAGCTATGGAGAATGAGTGTTTCTTTTGTTGTTTGATTGTTAAGAAGTTTGTTCCTCTTCCAATCCTTTGACTAATTTTTTTTTCCTGCAGGTGCTATCATCATGTTTGGAGGACTTCTTCTCTTTGATGACGAGTTCATTCATGTTGTATCTATAACATTCACCGCTCTTATCTTGACCGAGTTATTGATGGTAGCTCTAACTATTCGTACATGGCACTGGTTAATGGTCGTGGCTGAATTACTGAGTCTAGCAATTTATGTGGCATCACTCGCCCTTCTACGGGATTACTTTGGTATGGGTGGCAGTTTAGTTTTGTTTTGTGTTATTAGAATATGGGCAAAAAACCTTACCTTTTTAGTATCATCATTTTTATCTTAATGAGAAAAAGTGAGAAAATGACTTAGAGCAAATCTACATTTGAGGATTGCTAGTATTATGGTTAATGTATTTATGTTCATCAGTAACATAATTCACTTTGTGTGACAGTAACTTAACATGGCTGAGAAGAGACTGAATCCTTCATCAGTACTAATTATAATTGTTTTTCCTTATTAGATGCATCGTTTCTCATTTCAACTGACTTCATCTGGAAAGTGGTTGTCATTACTTTAGTCAGCTGTCTACCTCTGTATATACTGAAATACTTGCGCAGAAAGTATGCGCCTCCTAGCTACTCAAAACTGACGTAATGTATGTACTATTAACATAATGATGACATAACATAGAGCCCTCTGCTTCAGAAAACAGATGGGATTGGTTGGCTAAAAAATTGTTCAGTGGAAATTTTGTGGATATATAGCTGTCAATCAACATTTTGACTTTCTAATTAGCTTTAGAAAATAATTTATAAATAGACAATTGTCTTGATTGCTTCAAACTGACACAAAGAATAATAAGAAACTGATTAATCATCAAATCGATCATATAATAGTTTATTTTTTTTGTTAAAATGGTATAATTGCAATTATTTAATTGATGGAATTTAGAGGGATTAAGTATATTATCTAGGTTTTCTACAAAAAGGTAAAAAGAAATTAAATAAATAGACAATAAAATGTTAACTTAACTATTCTAACCCTAAATCTTTGCCCTGAAACGAATAAAGAATATTGAAAAACGGTGCAAAAGCTTATTAGTTTGAATAAGAAAGAGATGTAATACAGCCTGAACTTCAGGGTGGAGCCTTGCCAAGTTTTTGATAATATTGAGTTATAGGTAGACCAATTGTATTTATTTGTAATAGCAAATAAGATGTTCAAATTATTCATAAGAATTGTAAATAAAATAACAGAAATCTGTTTTATTTGTACGAAGTAAAGCCAAGAAAATGAAATGAYGTAGAGCAATTTTTGTAGTCAAGCAGTTATGTTTGGGCAGTATTTGGGCAAGCAGACTCTCCCTTTTCGAGCTCACTTCTGTCTCCAACCATACAGTACAACGAACTAACTTGACTTGCTTGCACATATTTTTCTTTGCAGCAAGACACAACACTTTTAAAGACACCAAGAAGCCCAACTAGCCAAACAGGGTCTTAAAAGAAAAATTAATAAAATTACTGTTAAAATCATAGAAAGATGAAAAATAAAAAGTCTAAAATTTATGTCAAAATTACGAAAAACGAAAAAAAGAAAAATAAATGGGAATTTGATGGTGTTGCTAAGCAACATCATTCTTGTCACCAGTCTACGCTCGACTAACTATTGTTGACCTTATGAATTTTGGTACGTTATGTCACGAAACAGAACTGCACAACTTTAGTCAAAAATATATTTTCTGTTGCTCCGATTGCCACTAATCTTACAGATAATCATGAATGAAGGTAGCTGACGACGGGAGTTCAATTTTTTAACCAAGTTATGGGCTGTACGATCAGCGCCGAGGCAAAACCGGTCCAGGAATCGAGAGGAGAAAAAAGTTTGGAGCCAAAAGCCAAAACAACTATTACAACACAAAATACATGCAGCAGGTCTTTGAAAACACAACAAACGTCAGAAGTTCAAGCTAAAAAGACTGAAATTATAACAGGACAAAATACAGCAAACTCAAAAACTTCAAACGAAGCGAAAGCCTTTGAGGGGCGACCAACTGAAACAGCTAAAGTTTTAACAATCCTGCATTTTAATGATGTTTACAATATCGAACCACGAGAGAAGGAGCCTGTCGGAGGAGTTGCTAGATTTGCTCATAAACTTACAAGCTATAAAGACTTAAATCCTTTGACTGTGTTTAGTGGAGATGTATTGAATCCATCCCTGAGTAAGTTGGTAATTTAATACAATCCCTGTTTGTGCTATCTCAGTTTGTTTTTGTTATACAATCACGATCAGTATGTATCAATATCTTTTATACAACTAATACGTGCGTTGAGTCAAGACTGCCCAGAAGCTCATTTTTGGGCTACTGACTTACAGTAGGACTATTATTTTTGGGTAGACTCGAGTAAATTTGGGTATACCTGCATTGTCTTCAGTTCATCCCCTCTTTAATTAAGCACATAAAATTAGACTTTGCCCCACCCCCTCTGGATTCTCAACCCCCTGTCCTGATAAATATTGCACAGTCCCTTACAAGCACTTCTGGTGATATGGCTACGTAATGGACTGCGCAATATTTATTAGGAGAGGGGGTTGAGAATCCAGAGGGTGTGGGGCAAAGTCTAATTTTATGTGCTTAAAGAGGGGGCAACGTCTAAAATTAACTCGAACTTTAATTGGGAACTGAAAATTCAACAGCGTCAAATTCGACAAGTTCTCAAGAAAAGCGTGCCACCATTTGGACAATTACTTTTTATTTACAATTAATGATAAATAAATAAATTCGTGGGGGGAGAGTGGGGGTTGGAGGGGGGGAGGGATTGAAGAGACCAAAGAACTTATGATTTGCTCCCCTAGATGAAGGTGCTTTGATGTCCTATACAAGGAGTCTATCATGTTTTTCTTGTGTGTCTGTCTTTTTAACAGTGAGTAGTGTCACAAGAGGAAAGCACATGGTACCAGTTTTAAACTCACTTGATGTCAACATAGCAGTGTATGGAAATCATGATTTTGGTAAGTAAATATATTACATGTGTATTATTGATAGCTGTATGCTAAAGCTAAAAATAAGTAATGCATCGTAACAATATCATTGCATTAACATCTGCACGCTCGCTCTTTACATTAAATGTGAATGTACATTAAACAATTCCCCAAAAGAAACTGGAAAGTGCCAAAACAAAATGGAATAGACAACGTTGTTAAAACTGACCAATCATGGATCAGTAGCACAACTGTTGTCTAAACATACCAATCACACACAGTTTTCTATAAAGGTTAAGCATTTTTAGACAACTGTAGTCAAAATTATACAATCTACTTAAATACTCAACTACTGTTGTTACTTTTGACCAATAGCATTTATACAGTTGATTGATCCTGTATTTGCTAAATCTCATCTTGATAATTGATGTCAAATGTTGTCATTCTGTAGACTTTCCATTTGACATGTGTCAAGAGGAAATTAAATTGAAATTTGAGTTTGGACAAAGGCCTAAAAAACAGTTTTGCTTTTCATCAGTTAATTATCTCCGTTTGTGAATTTATTATGAACGGTAACTTGAAGTTTACAACGTTCATAACCAGTTCAGAAACGGAAATAAATAAATTATGACAACTKTAGATTTTTATAAACAGACCAATCATGTAGCAAAGCGACACTCAATTGCTATAAATCCATGTATTGATTTTTTGGGGGCTGGAGACTCCATCGTGGAAGTATAGACTAATGCTGTAAACGTTTCAAAATCGCGCCCCAGAACTACTGTAGCCAATCACTGACCGTCAAACTAACATCTGTAGTTAAGTATGTTACTACAGTTGTCAAAAAAATAACAACAGTAGTTAAAAAGTCACTTAACAGTTGTTAATATCGTCGTATGTTCTTGATGCTTTTACATGTAAAACGGCGAATTTAAGATTACACTCAAGCGTCCGGTTAAAAGGAGAAAAWGAGTTTTTGTCAAATGTTTTAGCACGATATCAAAACAAAGAACCATTTATAAATAATTGTACATTGGATTAATTATTCTCTATTCSTCGTATGTGTAGAAATATTTSTGTTGTTTGCGTGAYGTGTTTRCTTGATGTTTGCGCCGAATTATATTAARGTTAGCTGAATCATAGTTGTAATAAAGAACAACAACAGAATATTAGTTATAACAATACTGAAGTATCGTAGCGAAATTGTGCCATATTTTGAATTTAAAAATTCTTTAATGTACGGCGGTGGGCATTTGAAAATCGATCCTGAATAAAATGTAGCCAATCAATGAGCGTTGAACCAACATCTCTAGTTAGAAAGTTACTACAGTTGTTAAAAGTTAACAACAGCGGTTAAAAGCCTCTACAAAGAAAGGATTTACTTGGCTAGTTTTGAAGGTCTTAGTTTATCTAGGGAGCAATTAAGCTCATTTTTAGTTCTCCATAAATTCTTTAAAATTTACGGGGTTATCGGCGCGTGACGCGCATGAAAGATACAAAGAAATGTATGGAGAACTAAAAATGTTTACTCGCTCTCTAGGTCAAGTAAGTCCTTCAAAACTGGYCAGTTGACGTCTTTTTATGGTKTTTATCGTTTGTAATTAATGAATCTTTCAGAATTGGAATTTAACTGGAATTATTTCACACTGTATCTCCTTGCTATTTTGCACGCGGCAAATATAAGCATGGCGGTCAAAACCGCTATCAGTGTTCATCAAACATGATCCGCAGTACATGCTTTTACAAAAGCAAAATATGATTTGCATATCCGAAAAAGCTGTAATTTTTGGAAAGAGGACATATTTGTTACTTTGCAGCCTTTACCACGGAAAATGTTGCGGTGCTTTATATCGAGAGTAACCTGAGTATCAGGCTGCACAGGCTGATACTCAGGTTATATCAAGAGCACGTACTTGTACAAAGGTTTCCCGCATTTTACGCAGTGTGCGGGAACTGAAGCGTGACGACTGAGGTATAAAGCTGCTGAAGGGAGACGGCAAAACGCGATAGCAATATTCGTGAATCAGGATCTCTGCTTTAATTTAAAAGGAGTTAGTACATAACGATGTAATAGACATAGATTTAGAGAAAAAGATATTTTCCTCCTTTTAGCCGGTCGATTGAGCGGATTGAGTATCAACAACTGTAGTGACTTTTTAACTACTGTTGTTAWTTTTTTGACAACTGTAGTAACATACTTAACTACAGATGTTAGTTTGACGGTCAGTGATTGGCTACAGTATAGTTYWGAGGCGCGATTTTGAAACGTTTACAGCATAAGTTTATACTGCCACGATGGAGCAGTCTCCAGCTCAAAAAAWTCAATACATGGATTTATAGCAATTGAGTGTCGCTTTGCTAATTGATTGGTCTTTGTTTCWAACAATCAAAAGTTGTCATAATTTATATATTTCAGTTTCTGAACTCGTTTTGAACGTTGTAAACTTCAAACTACTGTTTACATACTAGTAATTGAAATAACTGCTCAAAAGCAAGCAAAACTATTGTTTGCCCGGCTTTTGTCCAAACTCAAATCTCAATTAAATTTCCTATTGATACATGTCATGGAAAGTTTACACAATGCAATGACGACTTTTGACATCAATTAGCGGAGATAAGATTTAGCAAATACAGGATCAATCAACTGTATAAATGCTATTGGTCAAAAGTAACAACAGTAGTTGAGTATTTAAGTAGATTGTATAATTTTGACTACAGTTGTCTAAAGAGACTTAACCTTTATAGAAAACTGTGTATGATTGGTACATTTAGACAACAGTTGTGCTACTGATCTATGATTGGTCAGTTTTAACAACGTTGTCTATTCCATTTTGTTTTGGCACTTTCCAGTTTCTTTTGGGGAAATGTTATTATCAAATTCAAGATAGTTTCTCATGGTATGTCCTAGCCCTGTGGGTCCTACTTGGGGGCGGAGAGAAGCGTAGGACCCAGGCCCTGTCTGAAAATCAGGCTAGGTATGTCCTGACTTATTTATCACAGTTGATATCATGGAATTGTTGTTCATTCACAAGAACCATAGTCATGATACAGTAAATAAGATGACAATACCACAAGAAACTATCATAATTTTTTTTCACAAAAAATACACAATAACTACAATTTTACAATTCAATAAAAATCAAAGAAAAAAAAGAACAATCTATCCATCGTGTGTACTTTAATAATATTTACATGTACGTGCTTTTGACCAATCAAATATCAAGAAAATTTACAATTATGGTAAAACGTAGATTGAGGCATATGTGACATGTATGTTGATTGGTTATCAACCAAATTGATTTAACTTTGTTTTCTTACATGTAATAGATTTTGGTGTGGATGAGTTGATTGAATTCAATGAAGCCACAAACTTTCCCTGGTTGATGAGCAATGTTATTGATAAAACATCAAATGGACCACTTGCCGATGGCGATATAAAAAAGATAATAGAATGGAATGGTAGAAAGGTTAGTATTATTATTACTGAAAATCATTTCTTATATCAATTTGCTAGAACCTTATTGGTGCGTCAATCATTTTGATGGGAGAGGGGGACACTGTGCAAAATGGTAGCATCCTTTCCAGGGTGTAGTGGGTGCAGAGGGTACGTGCACACCCCCTCCTGAGACCTTGCATCCTTATCTCAATACTTTTCCTTATTTTTTGCCTCCTTTGTCATTATTTTGGTGGAGTGCAACCTCTTAAAGTGCCCTGCACCTCTCCTTGGGGAAAATCCTGGATCCACGCCCTGCTTTCTCAGTTTGGGGCCAGCTGCCCATATTGCATGTATTTCCAACTGCACACACTCAATTATTATTTCCCTGAATACATCAAATTTCCATGCAGATTGGATTCATTGGCCTCGTCGAAGAAGAATGGCTTGCAACTCTTGCTACTGTAGACCCCAGTGAAGTCATTTTCCAAGATTATGCTACTCGAGGAACAGAACTTGCTAAGCAATTAAGAGACGACGGAGCTACATTTGTTATTGCTTTAACTCACATGAGGCTACCTAACGACACACGATTGGCACAGAAGTCTCTTGGCATTGATCTGATTCTTGGGGGACATGACCATCACTACGAAGTGAAGGAAGTGAATGGCATTAAGATAATAAAAAGTGGTTCTGATTTCAGGCACTTTAGTGTGATTACAATTTGCTTTAGTGACGATAATAATTTTAATATTGATGTAGAGAAGATTGAAATTACAAGTGACATCCCAGAAGATCCTAACTTAAAAGCCATTGTTGATCAGTACATGGGTGAGTTTGCATAATATTATTTTTGATTTTTTGAATTATTTTCAATTGTAACACTGAGAGAAATAATGAAATTGTAATGCATACGTATGTATATATTTAGATGTCATGAAAGAGAGCATGGAAGAAACTCTTGGTCAAATAGAAGTTGAACTTGATGGTCGGTTTTCAAGTTTGAGAACAAAAGAGACAAACTTAGGTATGTGCTAGTCCAGTCGCTGGCCCCTACTCTTTGCTCCGCTTTAAAATGTGTCGCCGACACATTTTAAAGCGGAGCAAAGAGTAGGGGCCAGCGACTGGACTACCATTTTTCTGTCTGTTTGTCTGTTTATCCATTCAATTTAATCCTTTTATTAGGAAACTTTGTCACCGACATCATGCACAACGTGTCCAAGGTTGATGTTGTATTGTTGAACTCTGGTACATTAAGATCTGATGCTTTGCATGCTCCTGGTATTTTTAAGAAAAAGGTCAGTATAGTAGCTGTTTGTATATTATGATATTTCATAAATAAGCATTTTGTATTTAAAAACTGGTAATTTGACTTCTTGTGGTTAGGCAGAAAGTACCCCTGGTCCTTAGTGTATTATTTTCCATGAAGCACCAGGTTCAAGAGTCATGCAAAAAACTTTTTTTAGTTTTGCTGCTTTGTAGCGTGTTGTCACTTTTCCTTGGTGATGACAGAGAAGAGATATTTACAGGGAAATGTTAGGAGCACATACTGTAGGATGGGCAGCAGCCAAGCAGTACACAGGCATTTTATAACAGAGTACAGCATGTTAAAGGCTAGAAGCAATGAATGCCTGGAGACTAAGCTGTGTGGGCAACTAGTAATGAAGGGATTCAAAAATGCAACCAAGACTGATGGTAGCTGTGTTGGACCAGAAAATAGAACATTAATGTGTGCTGTACATTCTTTATTTTCAGGATCTTGTTGCTATTCTACCAATGCCTGATGCAATGGTTGTCTTAGAATTAACAGGTATAATTGTAACATATTGCATACATACATATAAAAGTTGCCTACAGGTCAACAGGGTTCACTCCTGATTAAGTCACTGTTTTGTGTCCATGGACAAGATCATTGGCTTACTTTCACATTGCCTCAATTCATCCACAAGTGCATGGTTTATGCAGATGGTAGATCTGTTTACAGATCCTTTTTCCTTCCTTGCTGCAAAATGAGAGAAAATTAATGAGATGTATAATGTGTTGTTGTTTTCCCTCACACTTCTCAAAAGGGTAGAAGTTTGCAGTTGACATGGGCTATAATCTGGACAGTACAGTACAGTATGATTAAGTGAAATACCAATTATTAAAAAATTTTATGTTTCTTATGTAGGTGAACAGCTCTTGAGAGCTTTAGAAAATGGAGTCAGTCAGTGGCCAAAACATGAAGGCAGATTCCCACAGGTATTTCCCTTAGTTTCAGATCCATTATGCTTGGGAGCATGAATTATAATTGAATTTATTTTATTTTATTGGAATAAGCATAGTCATCTATGGAATAAGATTAACTTCCTCGCATTTTCAAGGCAAAAAAGGAAGAAAATACCTGCAAATATCTAAATTGAGTTACTGACTGCACTCAACTGACTGTATACTTGGGAGATATGAAATTCAACAGCATTGACCCAATTTGATATTTCAGGTTTCAGGAATGAAGTTTGCTTTTAATCCTGATTGTGAACCTGGTCACAGAATAGTTGAAAATAGTGTTGTCATTGGGGATAGTCCATTAGAACTAAAAAAGGTAATTAGTGATGAAATGCTACATAATTATCCAATCACCGTCTTACGCATTTGAAGTCACCTTTAATTATTTATTTTTATAAAAACATACATTATGTGCTTTTGACTTTTAGCTTTATACTCTGTGCACAAAAAGTTACATTGCAAAGGGTAAAGATGGATATGACGTCTTTTTGGAGTGCAAAGTAGTGGTTAGTAATTCTCTGAAGAAGAAAAAATTAATTGTTGTACATTATTTTAACATTAATTGGAATTTTGATTTTGAAAACATTTATATCGAGTGTAAGCCTAACCTTACTGTATTGATTCATAGGTTGATGAGGAAGATGGCCAGATCATATCAACTGTAGTCCAGAATCATTTTGAATCCATCAACATCTTGAAGGGTGTAAAGTTGTCAAAGTCAAAACACAGACAAAGTATTGTAATGTAAGAAACTGTCTAACCCAGTAACCCAATGTCACAAGTGACTCAGTGATCACTTTGGCTCTCAACACTGTGGTTGCACATACTTCATGCAAGTCCCAAATTTGGACATGGGGTATATATTAGTTTCTCTGCAGTTGATAATTTACCATTACTTTTCTTTCCAGGAAACACACTGGTGATTCAAGAGCATCAATATTGGATGCAGAAAAGCATCATGTCATGATAGATCCAAAGGTAGAGAGTTTAGCTTTATAGTACACTGTATGTTTGTGCAAAGTTTTTTCAGATGCAATTCTTCTAGTGAAGACTTTTCTGTAGATTATAGTAAATTCTCCATCATAAGTTTGTGGGATAGTGTTTATTACATTATATTATCTAAGTTTGTGTTTCATAAAAACAGTTGATCTGGGTTTTTGACACTAATACATGTAAGTACTTTGTAAAAATTGAGTTGGAAGTACTTGCAGTCATTTCAAGAAAGAACCTGCATTGAGATCAACTGGAATCTCAGGAAAAATGGCATACAGAAATAATATAGTATTTGCTTTATTTATTAAGGAATATTGAAAAGTGATCAAGTTTATCTTTTATGTTTTCAGGTTGAGGGCAGAATAATCAATGTCAAAGAAATGGTAAGATGCATTGTGATTATGGTATTGTTTCCATGCATACAATACAATACTTTATTTATCAATTTTGATACCTTCAGTCTTCAAGCACTGAGATTACAATATTGCATAATTTGTACGAGTGAAACAAAATCAATGACCAAGCCATCAAAACCATTATTTTCATAAAAAGAAGATCATTGTGAGGCATCAACATTGAAAACCCACAGCAACTATCAGCTGTCTTACGTTATTTCTAACTTTTTGTGAAACAAAGTTTATTTCTACTATAACATTAATATAAGTCAATTGTCTAAATTTAGAAACATTCCCAGCCACAGGTAATTGAGGACACAAATGGAAACCAGGAGACAAGGGACAGCAGTAGTGATGGTGCCATTGATGACAGTGAAGAAGTGACACGAGTCATTCCAGGAAAAGTAATTAGAAATGAAGAGACAGTTGAATCAAATGGTGTTATGGAAAATGGAGAAATTGATCAGACATCTACTGTACAGACAAAGGTATCATAACTAATGGGGAATGTTTTTAAAAGATTAATTCAACCACCAATGCTAGTACCTTATAACCCTAGCCTCTTAGTAACAAGTAACAACTCCCTGCATTTCCCTTGTTTTAACCATAGGCTTTCTTATCTTGTTCATTCATGACAATATTTTTAAGCCTTTATATATGATAATCCAAGTAATAATATTAGTTAGAGTGAACACACTAAATCCATGAAATTCTATAAAACCAAAATAGCACAAATTAGCACAATTCTGCATTTGAAGTCCTTTGAATCAACATAAATTGTTCTCTGTGAATACCATATTTTACTGAATTGCAGATTAAACAGGGTAATAGTGCAACAAAATACCTGTTTACAAATGGTTTTCTTAAACAATGAAACAAAAAGAAATACTGACGCACTGTGCAAAATAAAGAGTAATAAAGTGTAGAGTGCATAAGTGTATTTCAAGGATTCATGAAAACTCATGATAAAAACCACATTAGCTTTTTATTGTTATAACTCCTACAAACAAATTAGTATGATCACCCTACCCAATTAACTAACAGATTTTTCTCTTAGGAAACAAAGCCAGATCTTGCAACTGAGGATGAATATTGGGACTTATGGGAAGCTGTTAAAGTTGATGATGTAAATACAGTAAGTAATAATTTGTAAATTTTGTATGATTTTAAGTATTACATTAGTTTCTTATAAATTTATGTTTCTTGGCACCCTTGAGTTGCCTGTGATATTTTGAACCTAAAAATTGACATATTGACAGGCGAATATTATTGCTATAACAAATGCAGTCTCCTCTTTACTTGTCTCTACCAGGGAGTCATTTCCTTAACTCCCAGCATCCCCTTTCTAGCATCTTCACTTATTGTTGCTATGGACTTCATAAGCCCAGAAACTGATTCTTGAGGTGTGAAGTGTCCCTTTGGGCCACCCATGTCCGTCTGCACCCAGCCAGGATCCAAAGCTGCCACAACTATCCCATCATCCTCCAAATCATCTTGCATCGGTCTTACAAGGGCTGTCAATGCTCCTTTGCTTGCCGTGTAGGGGTAGGGTCGTCTCTTTTGCCGATAGTAACTAGAAACGTAGTCAGTCGACAAATAACCAATGGCTGCTTTTGGAGAGCTTTTGTCGTTTGGATCTTTGGCAGCGAGTTTAAGAAGTGGCAGCAGAGCTTGCGTGACCATAATAGGAGATATTGTATTAGTTTTGTAGAGTCGCGCCATCTCGCCTGGCGTTATCTCACCTATTACTTGACGGTTCATGATAGCCGCGTTGTTTAACAAGAAGTTCAATCCCTTTCCTTGAAGTTTTGCAGTAACTTCGGAAGCAACTTTTGATAATTGTTCGTAATCGTCTACATCGAGTTGTAGAAGGATTAAGTTGCTATGTTTTGAAGCAAGTTTTTGGAGCTCGTTTGCACTCTCGGATTGCAAGGATCTGCACGTTGCAAAAACGAATTCTGGAGCATTGGAAAGACCAAGGAATTGTTTGACGAATTCTAGTCCAATGCCACGATTGCTTCCTGTAATAAACACGCTTCTAAAGTACGGAACAGCCATTTCTTTCAACTTGTTGCGTGACGTACACAGCTGAGTGACACTATGCGACCTTCCCTCCACAGGGACCCCGTCAATTACTCGGGCTTCCTTATCGTATTTCGAAATGATTTTTTCCCTTCATTGTATATCGCAGCAAAAGAGAATTCTTCTGCTAGAATGCTGCGAACTTGCTTTCAAGCACGAGATTAAATGATTATTTTTGCTAGTGGTTTTAGATATTAGGACTGGGATTTTTGAGATACATTTTCCGCGTTGCTTTTCAAGATATGAATTTGCTTGGATTTCCTCTGAAAATAATACTCTTTACTCCTTTTCAAGGAGAAAATTCTAAAACATTGGAAGTGGTATGTTTTATTTGACGGCCTTTTTTGTCTTTTTAATAATGTTTAGGTCAAAAGGCTACGGGATGGGAAAAATATTCGACTAACGAGACTTCAAGATAACAAAACTATTCTTCATCTGGCAGCTGAACGCAACTCATCAAAGGTGAGATCAAAGGAGTAGTGGGCATTTTTTTCATTATGAGACCTTTTTCATTATGACGTCACATCAAAGTGTTCTATTGTTTTATCGCTAAGGACTATGTTCGCCAGAGTGTATCAGAGTGACTGCATATCAAATAAAAAATGTACATGGGCAATCTTTGATACATGACATATATCAAAACAGGATACATCGAAGTTCTACTTTCGGAGGGAATATAAATGAATCCGAATTTCCGCTGTTTTTGAGCATCTTTGTAAACATACTCTGACGTCATAATGAAATAGTGCATTTGTTTGAACTTTTAGGTTATCGAATATTTATTGACGGAAGGACGGTTGAACGTGAATACCCTTGATGAAATACTGCAGGTATGGCACAASTWWCGTTTGATAGACGAATGAAATTAATAAATTGATGTATGGATGAACAAATTAATGGGCTGACGACAACCTCGTTCACAGGCCCTTCATCGCTTGGTTTCAAGCGAAGGGATAAAGGGCTTGGGAACGAGGTTAAACTGACGATTAAATGAATGACAAATATATGAAAGAATGAAGTCAATAATTCATGTGTGCACAAAATATTCCTATAAATTACTGTTTATTGGATTTTTAAGGGAGTGCCTCTGCATGGCGCAGCAGAATATGACAGCATTGACGCAGCAAGAATTCTTCTCGATCACGGAGCAGAGGTATGAGAACGCATATGAAATACAACATCATTTTATGTGAACTCTTGTGAACAGTTCCGTGTCCTTTTCTGGCGGATGAGTCGTCAGTGAACCATTCCTTTATTTAGGATGAAGAAATTAGGTGGAAGTAACTACATGTTGAACAATATCGTCATTTGAACTAATTAATTCCAAACCAGTCCCCAGGCTCTTTCCTTTTCGTACTTGGGCTGACCCCAAACGAAGAGGAAAGGACTGAGGACGAGGTGGTGTGAAGCTACAGACCGCTTCCTTTAGCACACTTGTCCATGTATTAACATAACGTGTATTCTACGTTCCAACAGATTAACAAGCAGGACTTGATTGGAAATACAGCTTTACACATCGCATGTATGAATAGCAAGGTACTAATTTTAAAATATCGCGAACTTTCGCTAATAAAGACATCAACCAGCCTCGGCACGCCAAAAAACATGTAGTTCTCACGCTTTTTCATGTCCCAACATCCATGTTTTTATTTTATTTTTGTTGTTATTGTTTCATTTTTTGCATACCGTATTTGCTCTTCCTTGTTGTCCATTTACACGTGCAAATTTCGTCCTTGACAATTTTTCCTTGTCAAGGAAAAGCGAACATGTTGGCTTTTCCTTGACAAGGAAAAATTGTCAATTTTAACCCATTTACACGAGCAAAAATTTTTCCTTGTCAAGGAAAACTTGTCAAGGAAAAATTGCTSGTGTAAACGGCGCTATAAGGTACAAGCAAGGACTAATGTATTATCAAAATGACTTGAGATGATTCACAGCACGGAAAATGTAAATTACTATTCTCTTGTTTTTATGGACAGACTAAAATCAAAGACTATCTGTTGTCGCGAGGAGCTGATACTTCCTTGAAAAACTCAGGTATTCATAACGTTATGTGATCATATACCTTCTAAATCATGGTGCATTGTGGTCTAGGTTCAGTAGAAACAACGCCATATTTGGCAGCATAAACTAAAGATGTTTGTAACGAATCTAGACCACAATGCAATGCAAACTGACATCTCAGAAAAGGCCTATAGAATGAAAATTAACTTCTTAGAGCTAGAAATTGAGTTCAAGAAATGTTTCCGACGCATGGAAAGTATATAAAGGCTTTTTTATGTACTTTTTAATGAATATGACATTCGGTGAGATGCATCTTGGGATTGACGGAAGTATAAGCTAAGGCATGTTTATGTTTTCCGATAGAGTTTAAGGTTGTTTATGAACGACAAGCTTAAATTATTTAGCAGACAGGACTTTTTGTGCCAGGCACTTGCTATTCCTTCGTTTTCTTGGGGCCAGGCGTATTCTGACTTCAAACAAACTTGAAATAAGGACTTGCGATCGACGATGAAAATGTCAAGGGGAGTATGGGTAAATTTGACTTAGAAACAATGAAGACTGAAAACTCACATTTGTCTTCGCCAGGTATTTCAAATGACTGATACAATTTTTCGGTATTGTTTTAGATGGAGACTTCCCATCATTATGATAATGAATCAAAGAAACCGTCTCGGTGAACAACGCGCCGGACTGGGATCCCTGTGTATATGTATTTATTGATCTTCAATCGACGGTGATGAATGAAATGAATTTTTACCAATTATATTTAGGGAATAATAAACTTTTTTATATTATTAAGCTTCTTTTACCCCTTGTTTGTTGTTATATTATTTTCTTAAATCTTTTTTGTTTGTTTGTTTGTTTGTTTTTTTTTTTATGTGGTTTGTTTTTTGTGTGGTTTGTTTGTCAATGATGTCACAGGGCCGTACCCAGTCCTTACTCTTACTCTTTGTTTTCGCTAGGCCCGTAGTGCTTTATGGGAAACCTTTCCCTTGGTGCACCGYACTCTGCTTAAAACAGCAAGAGTAGCGACTGGGCACGAGTTTGCCACATGTGYCATTATTTTTCATCTTTATTCGCTATAACCGGGAGTGTTTGCTAGACAGGCCCCAGCACATTGTATAACAGTATTTAGCGTTTTCTCGACCGCACTTTACGCGCAGTTCTTGGCAGTTCATGACGATTTAGGAGATTTAGTACTAAATTCATCGATAAATTTAGCCAATTGTGAACACAAAGTCTAAGCAATGGAAACAGCGTGTTTTCAAGACTACGCAAGGGAGCACGGCAAAATGTTTATTACCTTATGTTTATAATCCGTTGGTACGATCGATTCGTTCATTCTGTTTTGTAATATGGTTTTCCGCTGACCCCTAAGAATGCTAGCGAGTCCCAAAGGTCGCTAGTTTCGCGACAAACCGAAAAACCGAGGAGCGAAAACTACGAATTAAGGAATCAGTGACATTTTGACCGAATGAACTGCTGCATTTCCGACTGCGTAAAGGCCCTGAGGGGACTGGGGTGAGCCGCTACCCAAGCTGGCGTTTGGTTCGTGTTTTGGTTCGTCGTTGCCCTGTATTTTCTTATACGGCCTCGAT